TCCCTTTCCCACGCAAGAATAGCTATATATATATATATATATATATATATATATATAGAATTTTTTTCTTAATATACATTAATGTATTAATCATGTTCTTAATGTCCGGATGTGTTCTAATTATATCTACTTATAACAGCTTACACAATCGCTAACAGAGTTCCTAAATTTAGCCTTTTGTAGTCTATTTTATTTAAAATTCGTTTAATATCTTAATTTAAGAACGTGCATTTAGCGTTACAGTTTTCCCATTATTTCTCGAGAAAATTTCACCAACGCGCCGAATTTTAAACCGTAATAAATTTTGTTGAAAATTAAAAAATAATAATAATAATAATTGGATGATTTTAGATTTAAAACAATATGATAATAAAGCGGTAAACAATTAAAATAAACCGAAAAAGAATACTATTTTTTTATTTAATCTAGAAGTAATAAAATGCTACTCTTAGAAAATCAGCATTAAAAAATTAGTCATACCATCCATTTATGTAAATTTAAAAAGTCCAGGCATTGATTTGTAAATACATAAAATTTTGTGGAAAATTTAAACTATTGATTTATTTAGAGCATCCTGCTCAAAATTTTATGTCCATTTACATAAAATTTAGAAAATAAGTCCATTTACATAAAACTTTGTCCCCTAAAAAAATTTGAAATTTATTTGAGCCGGATTGTCACGGATAAATAGTTTCACATTGGCTAGGTGCAGGACCGAAAAATAGTATTTAAGTCTTGGGCTGTCATCTCCAATAAGAGCTCTTTTGGGAGGTGACAAGTGGTATCAGAATAGATTACTGTCTGTTAGGTGTGTGGACTCTCCATGGTCCAGTAGAACTCTCGTTGGAGCAAATTCATGATATTGGGTGGAGGAGAATGTCACAGATAAATAGTCTCATATTGGTTAGGTGTAGAGCCGAAAAATAGTATTTAAGTTTTGGGATCCATCACTCACAAAGACTCTTTTGAAAGGTGACAGTATGCTCTAAATAAACCCTGAAATAATGAAGCAAATAATAAAAAATTATAGTTTAAATTTTCAAATATTAATCATTATAATGCAAATAAAAATGCCGTATTAATTGCGCAGCAGACCATTTTTCTAAGGAAAAATGTGTAGCCATCACATCAATTATTGCGGCCACCAGCTGTGTGATGGATCTTAGACAATGGCCATTACCACATTGTGGCCCATGCATGCGTCATTCGGATATGCAAGAATATGAGATAACATTAATCGGTCTACATAATTTTTATTTTACTGAATATCACGCTATTAAATTACTCTTCATTCTGCATTAAGAGAACAATAATTTAGTTGATTATAAGTTAAAAATTAAAAAGGACGGCCGTAGCATGTAAATTAATGAGCAAGCTAAACCCTATAAATCATAAAAATATGGAAATCACGTGTGATTAGGCTTCGGTACCGTTGCAGCTAATCAGAACGTTAAAACACTTAAACCCCCAGAACCGAATATACATACTATTCATGGAAAATGTCCCCCTCCCTTTCTCTCTCTCTCTCCTCTTAGACAACGATATGATGAATTTATTATAATTTCTAAATTAGAAGGGGCAATTACATACAGAGAACCCCCCAAATATAATTATTTATAAATCAATCGTTCTCTTTCATTCATTTTTCAATTTTTTGCTTAAATATCAAAATTCATGATAAATTCCTAATCTATATTTTTCATTTTTATCAAATTCATAATGATTTGATCTAGATACATGTAAATACTTTTGTTTGATAGTTCAAAAAATCACGTGAGCACTTGATTTGTAAATAATAATATTTTGGGTGTTATGTATGTCATTATCTCAAAATATTAATGTCAGCCAGATTTGTCAAACCTCAATTAATTGTGGAAAGCAAATATATAAGTTTAGGATGATATAGAACGAGAGAGACAGAGAGCCAGATAGTATTATTATGAATGTTGTTTTTATCATGCTTTTTCCTCGGCAATTATGATATTTATGATTTGTTGAAGTTTGATAAGTTGGTTTTTGTGGGCTTTACGAAGGGTGGAGAATATGACAAAAGGTATTGTGAAATGTATGCTTGTAAGAAATTTGGGCATCAATATTAAGATATTTGGAGTGGTCTTTGGTCATTGATATATAAGATCATTCAATTAGGAAAAACATTGCGCACCTACATGAGTGTTGAATGATTGAGGAGTCATTTTTTACCATATGTTTGTGTTTGCATCTATATTATTCACTAATGATATTTGACATATTTTGGGTTACATAATATGATATAGCATGTAATGTATTCTTCTATCATAAATTATATTTTATACTCATTACATAAAATGTTCTATTAATATCATGTCATCAATGGAGATACTTGTACGATATTCATCAATATCTGTAAATGTTGCTGTTATAATCCATATTATTATAGCTTTAAATATGACATATCAAGTATTCAAGATGAATGCATGATGCGTTATATTAATTGTTAGGCATATGGTAAAGGTATTTTTTTAATTTTTTTTATACATCTAATATCTTTATATTTACAATCAATACATGATAATTTATATCTTCATTGTGATTTAAAGCTTGTACTTTTATGATTACATGTATAAATTATATAGAAACAAATAATGCATATTCATGATTAAACTCATGACCACTTTATTAAATTCAATACACTTTTAATTGTGTGGTTATAATATGAGCCAATGATCTGGCATGCTTCATGCTCGAACTCCTGTTTTGACCATTTTTTATAATTTTTGCTTGGTAGAGCATTTCCGGAATAGAAGAAAATGGGCTTAACGTCTCTCACAGACACACAGATGAATATATTCAGACTTGTACATATAATAAATGAGGTTTTCATATATAAAACTTAATAATGAGAAAAAATTATAAGGTTGGTCTAGTTAAAATGATTCAATTAGTATGATTTATAGGTTATAAAAATGTTAATTTTATTGCAATTTGTAAGACTTTGATAAAATGTAGTAGGTATGAACTTAAAAGATGATTTTCGTGGTTAAAAAGTGATGACTCTTAAAGCATAGGAGATGTCATCAAGTGATTATTGGTGTTTTGCTTGATCATTTTCTTATAAAAGGTGATATTAACAATAAAAAATTTGGCATCGACCTAGTAGAGATGAAGTCTGGTATGGTGGTGATGATAACTATTTGTTGTGTTAGCAATTGAAAGTACTATTATCGGTGCTCATGAAAAGCAGGAGTCTTATTAGTGATAACAAATATAATTGTCGGTGTCAATGTTAAGTGTTAATTTTGTTGATAATGGCAAATGTCATTCATTGCCATTTGTCTTAGCTCTGATGATAAACTAGCACTAAATTTATTATGATCATAAGGATGAATCAAGTGGCAATAACAAAAGTTGATATTGGAGTTGACAACTTTTTTTGTCCTTAATACAACAAGCATCAAATGATAAGTACTGGTCTTGTTGACAATAGCATTGAGTTGACACTAGTCATTATGCTTATTGGAGATGTTGAATATTAACCTTGCCATTGATAATGTGCATCAACTTTATGAGGTCTTACATGTGTTGGTAGCAATTGGTGTCACTCTTTAACAATATTATGTTAGCCTCAATAATAATGATTTTTATCGACATGTTGACAATTGATCTTAGTCTTGGTGTGAACATGATAAACAGAGTGCTAGATTTTCTTCTTAAGAATCCTTGGTAGGGCCTCACCTCATCCTCTCTTATTGTGTAGAAACTTGTTATTTATAAATATTTCTATAAAACACTTTGATTATTTTGAACATAAATCATAACAGTCCATTTTAACAATCTATATTAACTATCGTGATCATATATAATAGTTTGAGTGTTGAAATATATTAATGATATCAAATTTTGGTGATTTATTGAGTAATCAAATAGATTAATTTATTATTTATAGTTTTTACTATTAATTTTTTAATTGATAGAAGAAAACATTATTCTCACTCTTAGTTAGGTTTTCAAATTATTTTTTTTTAATTCATGTATTCATTCAATTTGATTCAAAATATAAGTTCAAAAATACTTATTATTCTTTTAAAACTAATGTTCCATCCAAAAAATGCATTAATTTAATCCAAATACTTTATGATATTCAAAATTTTAAAATATTTATATTATTTAAAAAAAGTGAACTCAAATCGAATAGGATTTTATTTTTATTCTGATTTAAACATTTTAATATTATTTTATTAAACCAATATCCATTTTGGACATGGGACAAAATATCATTTTTAGTCCATGCTCGTGTGGTATACAATCATGTCCACAAAATTAAGAAATCGATAAAAGAAAGATACATCTTTTTCTTCTGTTTTCGAAATCCTTGCAAAATACCTTTTTTATGTTCTACATCATAAATATTCTATCTTTGTCTTGCATCTTTCCAACAATGTCGTCTCCTTCGCCGTTCTCTGAATGCACCGCCGGGAATCTCCACTGACCACTTCTCTGTTCATTTTTTTCACTTTCAACCTTTGTCTACTCAGGCTCTTGAAACTTGCTGCTTTCATCTACTCTTCCTCTTTATTTTTTCTTTTGAAGCACTCTGATGGGCTTCTCTAATGGTGTCTTCTCTGCTTCGCTGTCCTGCTTTCCGTAGAATTCATTTTCCTTAGAAACCCTAGGGTACAGGAGTGGAGAAAGAAGCCCGCCATGGTAGAATGAAAATGATGCCATTATCTCACAGATCTATGTTTCAACCTTCTTTTACCTTTTGTTTACCTCGTCCCGTCTTTCTTTACTCTAGCGAGCTCTGAGCGTGCTTCTAGGGTTTTTGCTTTTACACTCTCCCGTCGACTGAGGAAGGAGGAAAGCTAGTCTCTTTCTTTCTCTCTCTCGTTCGCTCTAAGACAGTCTCTGCACTGCTCTGTACTGCTCACTGAAGTGAAGATTGAGGGAGGAAGGTGGAAAGGTTGAGGGAAATGGTTGGAGCGGAGGCTGCGAGGTTAAGCCTCACCAACCTCAACATGCAGACGACCTGCGGAGCCTTGCTTAGTGAGCTAGAGGTCTTTTAAGTTTCCTCTTTATTTTTCTCTTATCTGCTTGATTTCATGGATGAGCTTGCACTGTTTCTGGAAACTTTTTTAGAAATCACAGAGCGGCTGACGGCTCCATACTTTTTTGCACGGATGCGTTTTTTGATTTTGATGATTTGATAATTTTGTTGCTTTTTTGGTTTATAATTTGGCATATGATTGCTTCTGATCCATACTATTACAATATGGGTGTTTTATTTAAACGAGTTGATCACTGTTCATGCATTTATATTTCATTTTGGTTGGGGAGCATTTGATTCAAGGTTGTAACAGCATTTGACACAAGCTTTTACCTACATGCCACCTAATTCATACGAATTTACATATCGAACACCCAATTTTTGTTTTTTTAACCTTTACACCACCCAAATCTTTAACACAAGCTTTTACCTACATGCCACCTAATTCATACAAATTTACATATCGAACACCCAATTTTTGTTTTTTTTTTTGCCTTTACTTTTAACCTTTACACCACCCAAATCTTTAATAGCACATAAAAAATACCACCATTTTAACTTTTAAAAAGCCAAATGAACCTTTTTATGAATAAGGTGGTAAGTATGTAAAAAATGAAGTTTTGGTGTTAGATATGTAAATAAATAGGAATTGAGTGGTGTTTATGGAAGTCTTCCTACTTTTTTCAACTTTATTGGAGCATTTAGAAGAAAAAAAACTGTTTTTTATTATGTATTGTTTGATTTAGATGATTTGGTGTAATATTATTTGTTTTCTCTGGTAGGATACCTTTGGCGTAAATATTTGCTTTGTCTTGCTACGTTTCAGTTCAATATTATATTTTTTTTGTGCGATCTATTGCTAAGATTTTGGACTGATTTTTTGCTTTTGATTTTCTTTTATCATTTGCTTGAAATGCCATGTCATGTGAACCATAGTAAGTAGTAACCTTGTTTGGAAGAGAAATTCCTATGTTACATATTTAACACCTAAACATTGATTTTTTACATTATACCAGCCAAATCTTTCATATCACATTAAAAATACCTTCATTTTAACTTTTGAATAGTAAAATACAACTTTCATGCATAGGCAACGTTATATGTACGTAAAAATTGAATTTTTGGTGTTAGATATGTAAATATATAGAAATTGAGTAGCATGTATATAAATATTCCATTCTTTTATCCTGTATGAGTCTATTTTGATGAAGTTTCTGCTTTTTTTTTCTCGCTATGTTCGTTTAAAGTGAAGAAAAAAACTTATATTGCTTGAATGCATCTAGAAATCTTGTTTCCTTGTCAGATTTATTTTCAATGCTCTTGCAATTTGATGAAAAGGCTTGTTTGTTCTTTATAATCACATAAGAATCCCTGGAAATTGTTTTATTGGAACATAAGATATAATTTTTTGTACGAACTTCTAAAATATACTCAATTAATTATTTCGAAATGCTCATGTGCTTCTGTTTTCTTGTATACATTGCCTGAGAGCAGCAAATATGGACAGATATTGGCGAGGATGAAGTAGAGAAGGATAAAATGATGCTGGAACTAGAGATGGAGTGCTTGCAATTGTACCAGAGGAAGGTTGACGAGGCCCGTAACACGCGATCCTTTCTCCGGCAATCCCTGTTAACCAAAGAAGCTGAGATGGCTGCTCTCATGGGATCTTTAGGGGAGCATAACCTTCAATTTCAAGTATGATTTTGTCACCATGACATACAGCATTAGTATGATTTTAATTTGTTTCAAATGATTTTGTGCATTTGATAATTTATTCTAACAAAGATTCATCGTGGCTTGCAATTCTACCTTTTAGTGTAATCTTTTGTAATAACAATTGCTCATTGAAGGTTAATGTAGTTATCATACTAGTCACGTATCTTGCATTTGTAGGAGGAAAATGTCATAAATACAATAAATATTAGCTTTCTTTGAAGAATAATTTAGTGTGTGTTGCCTCACTAGCTCAATATTTTTGTGCACTTGGCTTTCTTTGCTGAATACTGAATATTCAAGAAAAATAATTTAATATTATTAGTTAATTTACAGATAAATTAGTTGTCTTTGTTAATTTTTTTTAGATAGTGTAATCATTTTTAAATATAATTATAATCAATAACCCTTTTTTACACTAGTATTTTTTCAAAAGTAACTAATATTTTATAGTTAGATCAAATCAGGTCAAATTTTCTCAAAAGTATTTAACATATTGCAAGAATTATTATGAAGTGTTAAAGTAGAACATACAAATTATAGCATAAAACATATTATATATATATATATATATATATATATATAATTGCGTTCTAGAAAATTCTCAACGATAGAGGAATCTTGTCTTATTTCATAATTTTCCAACACACACATAAACCGAGATGTAAGAGACAACGAGATTTTTTACGTAGACAAACTCTGAAAAGGGAAAAAATCACTGAGTCTGACCCATTTAAAAGTAATCCATAAAAAATTTAAAACACATATGTTCATTCTTCTCCTATATTAGAGATGAGATTGCAATATGATTGTGGCAGTTACATTAATAGTAGTTGGTTATAAAAGTTATAATTGGTTGTTATAATGCTTGTATTTGTCCATAAAAAATTACTGGCGGCAGTCGACAACGACCTTTGGTGGCCAACGACGAACATTGGTGGTAGGCGACAACCTCTTTTCTTCCGTTATTTATAATTCTTTCCTTTTTTAACATGTTTATCCTTGTATTGTCACGTGTTCAGTTCATTGTTGACATCATGCTGAATGGTAGGTAGCTTCAACTCATTTGATGCTTGTCCGCTATTCTTTTATTGTATGTATATGTTAAAGTTTTTATATGACGCTAATTGGATGATAGATTTGATCTTTTCTTTATATTTCAGAATGTTATTAATCTACTGTTATTTGTCACAACATTATTCATGGATATTAACTTGTATAGATACACATCCATCTAGAATGTTTGATTTATTTGAGGTTATTTTCAGAGTGTTATTCGATGACATTAACATTTATAAAAAAAAATTCAAGAGAAATTTACCTAGGATTGTTAATCTATTCAAGGTTGCTCGTCGGAGTATTGCTCGGCGACATTAACCCGTATGGATGAGGTCAAATAAAATCTCTGTTGGATCAATCATGCTCTAGCTGAGATACGGCTTCTTTAATTCCTTGTAGTGACAAGTATAACTTTTTCTGATACAACAAATCCTCCACCTGCTTCTTCTAGAATGCGAAGTTTGTCCCATTGAACTTCTTCATCTTAAACCTTGCTTCTTCGACCATTGCCCCCACTTAAATCGAACCCCACCCGGCTCGGATACCAGTTTTTAAAGAACACTGTTGTGAAAGTCTTCTTTTTTATTTCTTCGCGGAATAGGATCACAAGATTCGAGAAAATCATGACAACAAAAATTAAATACAGAAGCACAATCAAAGCAACCATAAAAAACACAGGAAAATTCTGTGAAAAAACTCGAGAACGGGAAAAAACTGCGGAGCCACACCACTTCAAATTTCACTATGTAATTTAGAAGATTTTACAAATAACTCGCATAGGTTTCTTCTTCACACTCACACGAAGAAACTTACAGAACTTGCACCAACAATCTTCCATTTTAGATTCGACGCAAAAATCACGTCGAATCACTGAAATTCATTTCTTCGACACTCCTCAAATTCACTGGGTTGTTTGTCAAAGGATATAGAAGAACGAAATTGCAAAGCTCAACAAAAATGGCTTGAAATCGAGATTAAAAACTGTAATCCCGTCACTAACTGTTATGGACGCTTGGGCGCCAAGCTCCTAGGTAGCTGAAACCCTGTGCCAAAAGTGAGCGCCTTAGAGCTTAGAATGGGCTCAAGATTTCCACTTGCTCGGTCTGGGAACACCCAGCGGGCGCTTGAGCACCCATAGCCCGATACCAAGTCATCGGGTGCACTGTCTGTGAGAAAGCTAGCCTACCTGCTGCTCATGGTTGTTTCAATCAAACTCCACACTTAACAAAAGTGAATAGAATCAAGTACGCGCTTGAGCTTTGAGAGTAACAAAAAAAAAATTGTAGAGGAGTGCATCAGAGGCTTGTTGTATATGCATGATGGTTTTATAATGGTCAATGTATTCATATGGATAAGATACCTCGACATAAGAGTTGATATAAGCTTGAATCGTGTTGGAACAGGTTATTATATGGATAAGATACCTCGACATAAGAGTTGATATATGGAAGCTTGAATCGTGTTGGAACAGGTTATCGGAGGATTATATTGGCCAAAGAAGAAGACTTATGGGAACTACAATTGCTAAGAAAATGACTTCTGCCTCTTATGGGAACTCTTCATGAACTAGTGTCATAGCTCTTCACAAATTACATGAATTGGGTTGAGTCGTTTTCTCCTTGCGTGTTGAGGTTTGTGATTTGGTCCAACTGCACAAGGGGGGCGTGTAGAACACCAGTGTCTAGGAGGTCAACATCTTAGCATATTTGAAAAGGAAGTCATGTAAGTGGGGACTTTGAACAATCATTTTGTAGCTGGTCATTCTTGATTGATGATTGATCTCGGGGTAGATGAATCCGACCGATTTGTGCTAATACTAGTGGTCTAGCTTCTCGTCGAAGTTGAAAAATCTCATTTTGAGATTCCTCTATTCTCTGCACACAATCTTCCAGGGGCAAGATGGAGGCACCTTCAACAATGGGATGATGCATACTAGGGGGAAAAGAAGAAGAGGCTTGGCATCTCTGGCTTCGGGATTGTCCTCTGGAATGATGGGTATTGGAGCGGGAGACTCCATCATTATGTGTATTACATTTATTAGCCATTTAAATGAGTACTTAGATTTTCATTAAGAGATTTGTTTCCCACTAATGGCGCCAAATTACGACATGCTAGAAAATTCTCAACGTCAGAGAAAATTTATGTCTTAGCTCAGTATATTTTTCCAACAAAAACACAAGCAGAGATGTAAGGGATAATCAAATATTTTAAAGAAAAAAATCACAAGGTCTGACTAAGTTAAAAACAATCCACTAGAAAAATTAATGTATAAAGATTCACCATTCTTCTATATTAGTGAAGATGGGATTACTTGATGATGTAAGTGGCTACATTAATAATAGATGGCTACAAAAGTTTTAATTGAGTATTATAATGGTCGTAGTTGGTTGTAACAAATTATTGGTGGTGGTGGTCAACAATGACCTTTGGTGTCCGACGTTGCACTTCGGTGGTCTGTGACTAACTTTGGTTGTAGACGAAACTACTGAATCTTCAAGTGTTAAGATTTTGTAGTCAACTCACTCTTTTTTTCATCCTCCCCACAAGTGAAGAATGATAGTCTATCTATAGTTTTTGAGAGGCATTTTGGTAAAATTCACAAACCTCCCAAAATACTCTATCGTACGGTCCACATTAGTTCCCTTGAAGATATGTAATTTTTTTAATTTTTGAGTGCCTTAATGACATTAAAATCTAATGGTCTTAGGCTTTTAGATACCTCTCATCGTGCCGCTCGATTTTACTATGAACATGCCCAATCTTGGAATTGTTTGGTCTTCCAATTTTTGTATGTAAATCTTTGACTATACTTTAAGTGTTTAATATGGGCTTATTTGGACATATATTAGATTGCATCATTTTGTTCTTGTTAAGTCGGTCAATTTAGCTATAAACTTGTTAAAATTGTGGTTGAATGATCATGACTTTGAATTTAGAATATGTTTTGCTCAAAATACATTGGGGTTTGTGCCTGATGATTAAAATTTCTTGATGGGACATCATATATATATATATATATATATATATATAATGCTCAAAATCATAAAAAGTATGCAACATTCATATATAAGGCTTATATAATGATTTATGGTAGATATAACATAATCTATCTGAGTGCATGCAGCTTATGCTGAGTATAATGAAATGCACGTGATCACAAGTAAAATTTTAGTTGTCTATATACATATTGTGTAGTGATTATAATCTATGTTTAAAGGATAAATTAGTAGAAGATGAATCATGCGAACATAATTGCCAATTTATTTTATAGCTCATCATTTAAAAAAAAATAAATAATTTTGTTAGTGACACCCACAACATCTCTTTAGTAGTTCATTTCTAATTGCATTAAAAACTATAGGAAATCTTAATTCCCTTAGCTTCATCATTTAGGTGGGATATTATCTATATAAATGGATGTCATTTCCGGATGATATTCCAAATCTTTATTTATCTTAGAATGAACAAATATTAGCTAGATGAAACTGAGGACAATGTTAGGTGTGGAGTCTAATTGGATGACCCATAAGCAGCAGGTAGTCTGGCTTTCTCGCTGACAGTGCTCTTATCTAGGGCCCATTGGGTGCTCCCAAACCTAGCAGGTCGAAATCCTGCTCCCATTCTGGGCGCTTAGGCACTCACTTTTGGAGCTGGGGCGCCTGCTACCCGAGAACTTGGCGCCTAGGTGCCAAGTCGGAGCACCTAGGTGCCCGGAACAATTAGTGACGAGATTACAATTTTTATCCTAATATCAATCCTTTTTGTTGAGTTTTGTTGTTTCTTTTTTTTTTTTTTGTATTCTTTGAAAAGCATCCCGGTGAAGATGAGGAGTATCAAAGAGGTGGATTTTGTTGATTCGGTGTGATTTTTACGTTGGATCTAAGAGGTAAGATTGTTGGTGCAAGTTCCATAAGTTCCTTCGT